CCCCATCCCAACCCCGAAAACTACAGCTATTATCATCCCCGATTTCACCTTCCTTCCAATGACAAACTCTGGCATGCATCCTTACTAATCGACCGACAGCCACCGTTTCCCGACGCAACCCAAGCATCCTAATACTGAAGAAAGAAACGGCGAAGCCTAGAAAAATCTTTTCTCGCCGATTCTCCAAAATCCTAATTTCACAGTAGAAAGCGATTTTTGGCGCGATTGGTGAGTTTTTCAGGGAGAGGTTGGTAGGGGGTTTTGATTATTTGTATGTTGTTTCTTACCTCCTCTTGTGTCTTTTTGTAGTTGTGACTCGCTGTAAAGAAGGAAAGCGACTCTACTGATTCCAAAAAGGACCACTTCGGATTGAATCTGGGATTTTTGCGAGATTGCCCCTCAATCCCACGGTGAGTGCCTCCAAATCCTGGGTAGAAGAGTCATTGTTGTCGTTCTTTGTCAAAATCCCTAGAATAGAATAATGGTGGAAGATCGTGCTACTGTTTGTTTGTTAGTGAATTAATATAGGCAAAATATATCTTGATTAGGGTTAGTAATGACTTTATTTATTGGTTTATTAATTCTTGTTTATCTTGTTTAGGGTTTAGATGGCTGATTAATACGAGGAGCAAGGTGGCGAGAATGATCCTAACCACGTAGGATCAGAGAACGCTAGCTTTGGTAATTTGGCTCGTGAAGATGAAGTTGCATATGTGGCACGAGATGTGTTCCATATTTACGATTCTGATGATGCAGACACGTCTGATGATAAGTACCATGATGCTCGGAACAATTTACGCGCCTATGGGGAAATGAGAAGGAGGAAGGTGAAGGCAAGGAGAGATGGTCATGGGGAGGAGGTTGAATAACTAGATGAGTATGAGGAAGATATTTATAATAATGGAGCAGAAGATGAATACCATGAAGACGACAATGGAGATGATTTGGAAGAACCTTATCAGGCAGCAGTTAATGATGGTGCAGCAAGTCAAGTAGTTGAAGATGATGTAGTCGAAGATGATGGTGCACCTCCTGTTCAAGAACCAAGAAGAGAAGACTCTCAACACTCTAGCTACAGACTGTCAGAGGAATCTGGTCATGTTAGGGGCAACCTTTCAGACGAGGATGGTGGAGAGCCATTTGGGGATGCTCCACACTATGATCCAGACTGTGATCACAAGAAGTTTCAATTTATTCAAAGGTTGAAGTTTGAAAATCCAGAACAGTTCAAGAATGCTGTAGTTTTACATTCTGTGGTTGCTGAGGCTAGCTTGAGATGGGTTAGGAGTACACAATCAAGAAAGGAAGTGAGATGCAAGGACAGTAGATGCAAATGGAGGGTGGTAGCTAGTTGGTTTAGGAAGGACCAATCTTTCATGGTGAGAAAGGTAGGGCTACGCCATTCTTGTTCACGTAAGATGCGGGTGAATCAAGTGACTTCAGAATGGATAGCATCTGACATGCATGAGAGGTTTCGCATCAATCCACAGTGGGCTCCAGACCAAATAATGGCAGAAGTGAAGCTCAAATACAACATGGAAGTGGACAAGAGGAAGTGTTATAGAGCAAAGGTTGCTGCAATTCGAATGCTTAGTGGGTCGTTGAAGGCTGAGTTTCAGGCAATCAGAAGCTATATAGCTGAAATGATGAAGAGGGATGTACATGGGAGGTTTGTCTTGGAGGTTCAACCACATCCTTCTGAAGACAAAGTTTATTTTCACAGGCTGTATGTTGGTTTTTCATGCTCGAGGGATGGGTTTGTGGATGGATGTCGGCCAATGTTTGGCTTGGACGGTTGTTTTTTAAAGGGAGAGGTAAAGGGCATGTTGTTGACTACGGTTGGGAAGGATGGAAACAACCAGATGTATCCAATGGCTTGGGCTGTTGTTGAGAGTGAGAATGCAGATTCGTGGAGGTGGTTTATCAATATATTGTCTCAAGAGTTGAACATGCTGGATGGAAGGGGTTGGTCTGTTATTTCTAACCAACAGAAGGTAAACTCCACTAATTCATGTTTCATCATCGTACCACTAAACTCCACTAAGGAAATGGAGGAGATCCAAGGTACAGACACACTGATTACACCTTTCACAGACTTTATGAATGCTGAACCTAGATTCTTTTGCCGAGCTTTCTTATCTCCAGTTCCTAAATGTGACTCAGTTGAGAGTAACATTTGTGAAACATGGAACGGATCGATAATTAAGTGGAGGGGCATGAGAATCATAGACATGCTTGAGGGTATCCGTGGGTACATGATGGAAAGGATTGTCAAAAAACACCAAATGTTAGCTAATTGGGATGATGATCTTTGCCCTAGAATTAGAAAAAGAATTGAGAAAGAAAAGGGCTTAGCTAGGTTGTGTACCTCTAGACAGACCTTGGATGATAAGTGTGAGGTAAGATTGGGGGATTCGGGGTATATTGTGGACCTTCAGACTAGGTCATGTACCTGCGGAACATGGGGCTTTAGTGGTCTCCCTTGCTGCATGCTGTCTCGGCAATTACTCACTTAAGGAAAGAAGTGGATGACTACGTTCATCCAACATACTATTGTCGAGAGGTTGTCAATGCCTACAATGTGGGGATTCCTTGTCTAGATGGAAGGCAAGCATGGCCAGAAGGAATAGGATACCAAGTACTCCCTCCACAGGATAGGAGAATGCCAGGAAGGCCAAAGAAAAATAGAAGAAAGGCCGCTCACTAGTTTGAGGTTCGACCTCAAGCAACCGGGATTGGCGAAGAAGTTTCAAGCAGGGGTACTATAATACACTGTAGTAAGTGTGGTGTAGAGGGCCATAATGCAAGGTCATGTAAAAATCCCTCCGTTGCACAAGCCCGGTGAGTTTTACACAAATACCGTTCAGTTTTCCTTGTCTAGTTTATTTCTAACTTGCTTACTAACTCGAAAACAACTTGATGTCAGAGAGGAACATCTAGACCTAGAGTAAGTGCTCCCAGGCCAAGAGTTGAAGGTGTTGCGGATCATAATGGGGAAAACACTGGTAAAAGAACAAGGACAAGTCATTGCTCTAAGTGTGGTTCGATCTCACACAATGTTCGAACTTGCCCCCTCAATCATGGAACTGGAATTCAGGTATCATATTGAATGCTCAATTAAATGTGTGATGTTGAGTATGAATGTGAATGTGGTTGTGGTTGTGTGATGCTGAGATTTTACAACTTGTATTCGTTAGGCAATTAGGCTGAATGTTGATGATAGAAGAACTATTCAGCGAGAAATGCGAATTGCAACAGCAGGTGTGGGAGTTTATGGTAACTAGAATACTGGAAATCAATATGTTCGGGTAAGTATTAATCCTAATGAATTGTAGGGGTTACTTTTCATGATTTTTGTCCAAACTGTGAACTTAATAATCCGTTTGGTTCTTCTGATTACAGCTCAATGGAGCTGTTGAGCGTCCTCCAGGGAACAGTCAGCAAGCTGTTGTGGATGTCCAGGGGAGCCAGCCACCAGTTACTCAACCGTAGATGTTGTAGAACATGCTGGATCCATTTGTCAACCCCATTTTTGTCGACTTGAAGTTAGGCTTGAGGTTAGGATAGCTTGAATTCTACTCATGCTATGTATTGGGGGTGCTAAATTAGGCTGTGTGAGGAACAAATGTCTGTCTCAAAATTCGGATTATATATTGTATTGTAGAAACAAATGGTTGTGCTCCATTTAGATTATATATTGTATTGTAGGAACAGATGGTTGTGCTCCATTCGGATTATATATTGTATTGTAGGAACAAATGGTTGTGTAATGTGGAAGTGTTTGGTAGTATATTGCACCTTGTATTTTGAATTCAAGCTATCCTCACTTTTTACAAACACTCGATATTTGAACAACAGCTTACCATCCAGGAAAGACAATCATTGCATTAGACAGGTAGAATTGTTAACATTAGACAAGAAAGACAACCATTACATACCAGATTCGTATCCCCACAAAACAAGAAGGAAAGAGGCATTCACAACAAGAAGAATTGTTAACATAATACGAATAAATCGAACATCATCATTCAATCTCCTTCCTTGGGCTAACAGAGTCTCACAATCTTTCATCCAGGCCATCATGTCTTGAGCTAGTCTCTTTTTCCCCTTATTCCTCCTCTCTGCCTTAGACTCAGCGAGGAGCAAACTGTGCTCGAGTTGGCATATTAGGCTCTCCATAGAACCCTTTCGGTCATCCATTTCATCTCCAACCATCTCAACCCACCTAAAAAATCGACAATTTTTCTTCCCTGGATTTTCACTCTCATTCTGCACTATCCATACGGTATAGTTAGAGGTAAGAACACTCAAAGGGACCGAAATAACTCGACAATCAATCTATCCCTTACCTGCTTCCAATAAGGACATCCATAAAATTGCCTGTCTGGGTTAGTCTCGGTACCCGACGTCTTAATCACGGCGGGAACGTTGTGCTTGCAAAGCACAGTCCCACACCCGTTGAGGTTGGTCGCTGAGGAAGAGCCCTGCTGTGACATCGCTGCAAATCGAGAAGATGATGGGGATTTTGGAACGGCAGATGCGCGAGCAGAAAAGGACTGAATGACGGCGGTGGTGGTCTCGAGCGGCGACGTCGTGGTCTCAAACGGCGGCGTCGTGGTCTCGAGCGGCGGCGGCGTCTCCACCAAGTGCGAACCCTAAATCGTGAGAAATTGTTTTTCGGGTTGTAGGGAAGGAGAAGGGGGTAAGTAAGTAGATATTAATTTTTTTTTATTCTACACGTGGCATTCCACGTGTACATTTTGCTGAAGTGTCACTCATGTGGAGGTCGGATTTCGTCTTCGTCAGCGTTCCGTCAAACGATTTTACGGAACCGTAGACGGTGTTAAAGTTTCTAACGTTTTTTACTAGATTTGTCACACTACCCTTCGTTTTCTGGGCTATTTGTGGTTTTTCGAATAGTAATGGTTATATTTGTCAAAAGTGTGAAAGTTATGGCTATATAGATGTATTTTGCCAAAGAACAAACTACAACAACTTCTCATAGACCATAGTTATTAACTTATTATATCTATATTTTGGAGTGGGGGGCAAACAACTCACATCCTACTACTTTCTAATGTTTTCTCTACCTACTAACATTCACACTATAACCTTAAATCGAAATTTCAATGTTATAGCCTCTACTAAACTTGACGCTTCCGCTCTTCCCAATTCGGCTTGTGAATGTCATGGAGTACATTTTGTTTGCTGAATCAGTAGAAGGGAGATACTGAGATATGCAGAGTCCCAAAATCGGATGTAATACATAGATTTTTATAGCTGCGCTTCCTCTTTAACAAATGAATATGAGAAATGTATGTATGGGCTCACACTTGGGAACATATCTACAAAAACAGCATTCTCTTGCGCGATAAGCAGCCAGCCCTGTCACTGTCACTCTCAGCGACCTGTGAAAGCCTGCAGATAGCAGTTTCGATCCACCAGACCAGAACAAAGATGGGGATTAAGCAATCAACAGAAAGAACACATCAGTTGAATGACGAAAGAAGCAAGTTAAGAAGAAGCAGACAACAAAAACAACAACAAAGAGTGTGTTATTACCGAGAAAATGTTGCAATGACCCGGATCAGCAACGTGAGCCATCAAGTTCTCAATCGGACCTTCCCCTGTATACACCGCCTGGAAACAGAACCCCACAAACGCCAGCATCGCCAGCCGCCCGTTCTTGATCTCTTTGGTCCTCATCGTCATGATGGGCTCGGGCGACCCGGTCCCCCACGACCAGAAATCGAACCACAGCCCGCCCGGGTAGCCCACGTCGGCCTCGTGCTTGGGCTTGTGCGGCAGCACGGGCTCGATGTCGACGCTGCCGGGGTTGACCATGTCGGCCCACCTCCTCCCTTCGACCCAGCCCATCAGGGCCATCTGCACCACGAACAGGGTCACCGGGTCCGCGAAGTACTCCCGGGCGCCCGCATCGTACCAGTTGAAGTTCTCCAGCATCCCGATCCTCTCGAATCCTTCCGGGATCAGGATCCCGGCCACCGCCAGCATTGCCCACCTCGCGTGCATCAGCTCCGCCTGGGCGAACCATTTCAGCAGCTCCGGGTCCGAACCTGCTTACAACGATCCAACCCAAGACACTAATTATAGTTTAAACAGCGTACCCATTTAGCTAGCCAAACCCCAATTTGATTCTTCATGGGCTCAATGTGTTTACCGAGTCCCAGTGGGTCGAATCCGAAATCGCCAGGAAGGCTAGGGTTTTGAGTGGAGACACAACACGAAACAGAGTGAATTGTATTAGTACAGTGTTATCAAAATTGAACCGGATATAGATTCAGATTAGGAAGATGTAATAAACAAGAGAATAAGTATAGGTACCTGCCGTCGAGCCAGTCGGGAGGGGAGCTGCCGGGGAACCAAATGGGTCTGTCGGGAGGGAGCGGCTCACAAATGGCAGGGGAACCTTTGGTTGCTCTGTTCACGGCTACTCTCAAGGGTTTATTGCAATTGCCCGGCGGCGGCGGCCCGAAATTATGGGAGATTGAGCAGGTGGTGGTGTTGTTGGATGCAGGGGAGGCAACGCGGGTGAGGAATGAAGAGGAGGCGGCAGCGGCAATGGTGGAGAGAGCCATGATGGACAGAGGCAGGGGAATGTCGAAGCTTGCTCTTTTTTAGGCCTCAGGAAGGTCTGCAGTGTTTGTTCCTGATTTGGTTTTGTGGGGAGATGGAATTTGGATGAGGAGTGAAGGTTCTTGGTGGTGGTGGCAGTGGGATTGGCTTATCCAGTCCGTATCCAAATGTATTTCCCTAATTCTGGGTTCCCAGTTCCCACAAGCCAAGACGATGTGAAATGTCTTTTTACCGGTATACCAAAATAAAATACAAACTTCATTTGACAAATACACCGTATATTTTTAAAATTGTTATTTACATTTCAAGTTAACAAACGTGATCATTTACTTTTTTTATTACAATTGTACCCTTTAATTATAACTTGCAACCAACGTGGCATTCTGACAACTTTATATTCAACTTTATTTTTAAAATTGTTAATTCCTTTACTTTTTTTTTTTTTTTACAATTGTACCCTTTAATTATGAACTTGCAATGAAGGACGACTCTCTTCGCGGTGCCAAAAGAAGGACGACTTTAATACTATGAGCCATAGATTGTGAATGGTTCGTTGCAAATTCAGAAGAAGAAGGTCGACAAAGGAGCTCAATGATGGGGAAAATAGTTTGGTGGGATAATTCTTAGGTAACCAGGTATTCGACCTCTGAAGTTTGATAACTCAGCAGTTCCAGTCTGAGCCAGACTTTCAGGCATCTCAGCAGAATTGAATTCAAAAGAAGGAATAGTTTGTCGTGCTAGTATCTTTGGTAAGTCCTTGTGTATGGATTTACCTACGAGGAAGGGGGATAAAGTAGGCAGTGTTATGATAGGATTTTTGTGAAATTGCAGCAACTTTTCTGTTGGTTGATCATATTAGTTTTATACTTGATGGTTTAGTGGAGATGTTTGTGTCAATGGAGTATTGCGGACTCCTTATGATTTGTTCTTCTTGTAAACTATTTTCTTACAATTGTTCTTGACCTGTGAGTGGTCGGAGGCAGAAAATTTGGGTGGTCAAATGGAAGAGAACAGTTGAGCTGGTATCTACTGTAGGAAATGAGAAGGGTAAAGAGGTGATGGATGAAGGGCATGATTGTAGTGGCCTTGAGCCATATGTGTGAATTTTGGTAGAGAGTGATGGGGAACGGCGTCTTAGGCCGGGCCCATTGATATTATTATTATTATTATTGTTTTATTATTATTATTTGTTAGAATATTCGGTTATTATTCGGGTTATTCGTATTAGTTTGGGTCTAGGATTATTATTACCTATCTTGTTGAGGAAGTATTCGTTTACTTGTTGTTTTGGGTTTGGGTTTCCTTGTCTTAAGGGGAAAGGGGTTTGTAGGATTAGCCCTATAAATATGTACCTTTGCTCTTCGTTTTATTAAGTCGATGAATAAAGTATAAGTAGTTAGTAGAGAAAAGTAGTTCTTTTATCGTGTTTTCTAGTTATTTCGCTATATCGCTCGAGATCACCGGTGCGCGAAATCCCGTTCCGCATCAATTGGTATCAGAGCCTGGTTCGACAGAACCGAGCTCGAAATCGCTCCCAGGGCACGCTTCATCAACTGCTCTTGTCCAGCAACCGTTGAGAGAGGATCGGCCATTCCTGCCAAGCGAAGGAATGAAGAGACGTTCCGAGGAACCGAGCTCGACGAAAAGGCTCGCATACAGGGCACGCTTGACGGAAATCGATGTGATGTTGGACATCATCCAAAGGCCATTCGAAGGATGCAGAAGATTGCCGCGGGATGAAGTTCTGCAACTTGTCGATGGTGAACCACCAATCGAGATTGATGAACCGCCGGATAAACCTCCTATTCCGACTGATGTAGAAATCTCCTTGTGCGCTCTTACCGGTGCCTCTAGCCCTACTACCATCCGCTTCAACACAACAATCCGCCAAGAACGAGTCGTCGTGCATGTTGACCATGGGTCGTCACACAATTTTGTAAGCCGTGAAGTTGCCGAGAAGTTATTCTTGAAAGCTAGGCCGATCCCGCCATTCGAGGTTAAGGTCGCCAATGGCGATTGTCTTGTTTGTAACCGTTGTTTTGAAGCTGTTCCTATTGAAGTTCAGGGCACAAGGTTGGTCGTTGATTTGTTTGAACTTCCGATTCATGGCTTCGAAGTTGTCTTCGGCGTTCATTGGCTTAAAGAGTTGGCGCCTATGACGATTAATTGGCAGCTGACGACGATACGTTTCAAATACAACGGTGTATGGGTCACATTGCAGGGGACTCGCGAACCTACGGATAGGGACACCAACCTCGCAAAGCGTCAACACGGGCGCAGTGGATGGGGTCGTGAAGACGGTTCAGGGATCCCGGCGCTGTCGAAAGGCGTTGTGACTGGAGGCTTCGCACCACAAGGATCGATGGCAGCCACACCAGCAGGTGAGAGGCTGGAGATGGAGTCATTGCGGGAGAGATTAGAGCAAAGGAAGGGTGCTTCCGCGATTCTGAAGGGAAGCCGAGGTTCGGTTCGTGGCTGTATCGGACCAAGTATGAGAGGATTGGTGGGTGCATTACTGTACGGAGTGGGCCATGGGCAAGTCGTCGGGGAGTCCACAGCCGAGCCGAAGAGAGTGATGAGCGCAACGTCACGAAAGCTAGGAGGATTCGAAGGTGTACGGGATCGTGAACTTACTGATGGCTACCGGATGATCGACGGTCAAGGGAGCATTGCCATTATGAGGATGGGTTTGAAAGATGGTTATTTTACTAGTTCTTATAATTCCATGCAGAGGGAGCGTAGGAATGGGGATGTGGTGAATTATTATCTCATGCATGGTTGGCAGGCTGGAGGGATGCAAGGTGAGCGCCGTTGGAACGAGGGAGTTGAGTGGGACTTCCATCCAATACGTGAGAAGGTGAAAGAAGCTGGAGTCCGCAACAATGATGGGGAATTCGTTCAAGTCCCAGAACGTAATTGGAAGCGTCGTAAACGAGATCGACAGACATCCACTCTCTTTGTTGTCATCAACACATGGGAGCGATTCTTCTTTATCGATCCGGGTTGAGATGGCGCCTGAACTTCGGGGACGAAGTTCTTAAAAGGGGGGAGGATTGATGGGGAACGGCGTCTTAGGCCGGGCCCATTGATATTATTATTATTATTATTGTTTTATTATTATTATTTGTTAGAATATTCGGTTATTATTCGGGTTATTCGTATTAGTTTGGGTCTAGGATTATTATTACCTATCTTGTTGAGGAAGTATTCGTTTACTTGTTGTTTTGGGTTTGGGTTTCCTTGTCTTAAGGGGAAAGGGGTTTGTAGGATTAGCCCTATAAATATGTACCTTTGCTCTTCGTTTTATTAAGTCGATGAATAAAGTATAAGTAGTTAGTAGAGAAAAGTAGTTCTTTTATCGTGTTTTCTAGTTATTTCGCTATATCGCTCGAGATCACCGGTGCGCGAAATCCCGTTCCGCATCAGAGAGCTCTAACGCTAGGGAGGTTGAAACTTTACCAATAATACCTAACGCACTTACATCGACGGAGGACTTAATAAAGTGTTGAATGGAGCAAAACCTAGACTTGTGCAGGTTCAGTCACCTACATTAGTGAATTCTTTTCAACAATTTGTGCCAAACATCCAGTGATCCTTAAACTAGTGCCAACAAAAGCTGATCGTGAAGGATTGAAGAGTAGTAAGGGAGTTGCACCTGCAGCTCGTCCAAGTAAATGAGTTTACTAAAGCCACAAGGTTGGTGAGATAATGAGCGCAAAACGGTGCCAGATATGAAGGAGTCCAAGTGTTAGTGTGGAGCAAGGAAGAAAATGAATTTGCGTTTGTCAACCCAAACCTGACAAACATAATCTACCGCCAACTCTCGCGCATCCGCTTAGCTCGGTGACAAAATATCGACCCACTGAATCTCCCGCCACCAGTGGGTTTGCTTCCGCCCTGCTTGCTCACTGATTTGGGGTTTGGTAGGTAGGATTTTTTTTCCAGTTGAATCAAATAGAGGAAGAAGAGGAAGATGAGAAAGGGCCTGATCATGGGTTAAGTTGGGGTATCTTATGTGACGGGTTTTAATGACGTGGCGAGTCAGTTGTTAATTTTCTCATATTAAAATTGGCTCATTAGCCACTTATGTTAGCAATGTTAGTAAAAAAAACTAATGTCGTTAATGGCTACTGATGAAAGGTAACAACTAGCAACCAAACATGGACGGTTATACTAATTTCACTATTTCTGTGACCACGAATGAAATGAAATATTTATAGTGACAAACATAAAGCAATTTAGTAAATGAATCGCTATTTGCCACCCTAGTATTTATTATTTACCGCCCATAGTTTTAAAATATATGACAAGTTTGCCCTTCTTCCAACTTAAAACCCTAAATTTATCTAACCCATCCTCTCACAAGAGCCCTCCTCCCTCCCATCCCCAAACAGTCGCCGACCTTTTCTCCCTAAACCACCTCCCTATCGCCACGGACCACTTCCCTTACTCCCACGCCGCCAACTACTCCCCACCACCGACTACCTCTCTTCTTCCCACCGTCGCGACCTGCCTGTCCCTCCCTCCTCTCACAAGTTGCTGCCGATTTAGAAGGACTTCGCCGCAGCCGTTGCTAGAGAAGTCGCCAAGAAAATCTCTCCGGCGTGTTGTCGTCGTCGAGAAGGTAATATTTTTTGCCTCATCCGCTCGCCGGCGTCGGACGACTCATAACAGTCTGACGCTGGCGAGAGGACGACATTCGACACCGGCGAGCGGACGAGGCCGACGATAAAGAAATCGTTGGGAGCTGGAAGGTTGTTTTCTCATTCTTTGGCTCCGGTCATGGTGGTTGGATGGCGGTGGTGATCGGCCGACCGTTTGCTTTGGCGATGGTGGTCCTTCGACGGTGACTCGAGCGATGGTGGTACTGCCAACAATGGTGATTTGGTGATGGTGTGAGGGTGATGGAAGGAGTGTTATTGGAGTGAAAGAGGAATAGAATATTAAGAAATTCATGGGGCAAAAATTATCATTTTAACTTAAAGACATGAGCGGCAAATAACAACCTTCTTTAGTAATCCTAATAGTCAAACTTGCAATTTAGCAAATGATTCGAAAACTTGTCATTCTTTTGACCTGTAAGACCCCGAAGTCCAATTCGCGAGTCCGAGCCCATAAAATTGGATCATTTTAACTTGATTGGCTTAAAGGTAGTGGTACAAAGTGAGCTTGTGGGTTAACACCATCATCGGCCGTAAGACCGATTCTACGATGCCGCTATTAAAAGTGCGGCACCGGTGTAGCCACTTCCTATTGGGTCACGTCATGATACATGTGGCAGGTTGAATTCTGGAAACCAAGTCCAATAACCAAATATCCAAACCTTCATCCAGTCGGTTAAATCCTTTCCAACATGACCTGGGGAATCTCTTTATTCATTCTTTGTTATTCCATTTTTTCCACAAAACCTTTTATTGTTTTGTTTGTGGAGATAAAATAAAATAGGATAAAAATACAACACATAAAGCAACATAGCCTTCCTCTCCATCGAATTGCATCGCCGTTGCCGGCCATCCAATCTCGCCGTCGTCCCCTCACTCCCATCCCAGAAAAGAATCAGTCATCCTCCTCGACCATCTTTCTCCGGCTAACTGTTGCACCGCCACCGAATACTCACTATCCCACTCCAAAAAACATCAGAAAATTGTCGTTTGTCTCTGTCATCCCCCTCGATCTCCAACTAGGAATCAATCGCTAATCACCCTTGGCCCTCTTTCTTTTTCAAAATGTCACGCTGTCTTTTGAAGCAAGTATTTTTGTTGTTATCCAAGGCACTACTACTAGCCATAGCAATATGGCTCCCGAATTTCCTTTTTCACAAGCTACCATCTTCAACAGTAGGCATTGCCTTCTTGCTTTGTGCTACTTCTGCAAAAGACTTGCTTTGTGCTCGTTTGGGTGAGCTCCACGAACTTGATCATCTTGTTCTGATAGACTAATGAATTTATGCCAGCAACAACAGTAGTGGGTGGTGGGAATCTCTCACCTATAACGAAGTAGAACTGTTGAGGTACAATGATTTGCTTCTTCATATTATAGAAAAATAGAACAATCACAATCTTCTTTGCTATCAAATACCTATACAAGAACATATATCAAGTTAGTTTGACTAAAAAATCTGGCCATTCGTTCAGAAAGTAGTACTCAACTGAGAACCAAATCCAAATTGCCCAATATGAGATTGAAGGTTTAAAAAAATAGCACAGAAGAGTCAAGAAGAATGTGGTCTATATTTCCCCTTTGTGTATCTTCGATGAGATCAGAATCAACTATCAAGGACCATCCTTTTGAAACATCAAATTCAACACCGAGTCAAACAAGATCTTTGCACAGCAAATCTGCATTCTTGAAATGCACACCTTTCATGCCTATTTCAACTGATGCATCTACATTCTGAATCTACAGGTAAAATAATGGCCAATATCAGTCTGGGTTAGAATATGCTTGGTGCCGTGTAGCTTCCGAGGAACACCAATTGACAAAGCTTCTAAGTTCTAAGTAGAAATCAGGATCAGGCTTCCTCTTAGTCTTTCTTGATAAATAACCAACAAAATTTGACAAAGCATTATAATCTTCTTTTGGCCCATTTTATAGCATTCAAATCATTAAATTCAATCCGCAAAATTCTATCCTTTTAACAAGCAGTACGACCAGTTCTGATATTCACTATTGTGTTCTACTTTCTGTGATTAGCACGGTAGTAAAAACAGCAAAAGATACTAATTATACCAGTTGTGCAGGATCATAAGGTCCACGGTAGGTATGCTGAGATACATAACTTCTCCTCAATCATGTCACACCTAACAAAAGGAATTCATGAACTTAAACACTGGTGGTGAGTTAGTCAATAAAAGAAAGAAATTTACAAGTGAGATATGGTAGATGGGCAGCAAAATTTGTTCTTACCTTCCATGTTGATTTGTGAGAGCCTGCATCTCGTAGTTTCTCTGCTTTAGTTTCTCAATCATCTCTCAAAAGGCGTTTAATAACGAGCTTCCCTCGTACACCGACAATAACAGGGGTTTTACCGAGTTGAAGTCTTGAAGAGTTAACGGATTGACATGCCCTAGAATGGAAATGGGCGATGCAGTTCTGAAATTCGGTGACGAGGGGAACACGATGCTTTGTGGTTTGACTGGTTTCTAGTATTTTTTTTCTATTTAATTTTTCCTCAAAAACAAAACAATATATATTCCGCAAAATAAAGAGATTCCCTATTGGTTGGTTAGGAGGGGCTTGAACCAACCGGCTGAAGGTTTGAACATTTTTGGTTTTGGACTCGATTTCCAGAATCCAACCTGCCACATGTACCATGACGTGGCCCAATAGGAGGTGGCTGCACCGGTGCCGCACTTTTAATAGCAGCACCGTAGAATCGGCCCGGCCGTAATATTCCAAACAAAAAACTAAAAAAGTGAAGACAGAAGTATAGTACAGTAGAAATTAAACGAAGGGAGTCGACTAAGGGCTTGTTTGCTTGTGGAATTTGAAAATGAAGGTTTTTAGTTTTGAAAACCTTTGGATTTATGGTGAATTTGTTTCATTTTGTATTTGAAAGATAACATTGTTTGTTTAGTTAATTTTTATCATGGATTTAAAGGTTTTTGTATCATAAGTATCAAATCCTTGCCTTCCATGACCAAATACCAAATGAAATATGGTATTTGCAAATATGTGGAGTCACGGATTTGGAGCTAAAAAAAGTTCCAAACTAATAGGATCCACAGATTTGTATACCTCAACAAACAATGTTTTTTAAAAAACATAATGTTTTGTATTTGTGTGATAAATACATCACACAAAAGATATCTAAATTACCTGTCCTAATCTCCATTCACCATCCGGGAAACGATGAAGTCAAACTTTTCTACGAACAACGACACACAACCACCAAACTCTTTCTCCACTGCTTCGGCAGCTACCAATCACTCATCAGAACCAGTGCTCCGGTCCAGCGCTGTACTTTAATCCGCGAGCAATGGCTGGAGTGATCAACGTCTCGCAGTTTCCATTCCTCCGAACAATTTCCCGCCGCGGCAGTGTTCATGCCGGTATCAGAACCTCCATTCCCGTAACCAGGGCATCCTCGTCGTCGTCGGAGACGCCTCCGAGCTCCGGCGCCACGACCGCAGCCACTAGAGGAGAAGAACAATCAGCAGCGCCTTCATTTGCTGCCCAGGCCGGTTTCAAGACGCCGGAGCCAAAGCGGTTTGCTATCCGACCCGACAAGGGCTTGGATGTTGCAGGAGCGGCTCTCGCCATCTTTTTCCGCCTCGACACTGGTGTCTTCCTCAATGGGTAATCGGTTTTCCCCCTCTCTGGTGGGAGCCTGCAACTTAATTACTTGCTTCATCATCTGTTTAACTTGGGAAATTGCTATTTTGTTTCCCTCCCTGAAGTCCAATTGTGCTCTCTCTAGTGCCTCATGAACTGCTAGGGTTTTTTACCGAAATGGGATTGTAATTCTAGTTTTGTGTTCATTCTTATACCGTGACAGGTACTCGGTGTCTTTCGTGTCCAAAGATGAGATTCCAGCTGACCAATATGCTCTAGAACTAGCTGGTAGACGTGAACATTACTTTCATTACTACACCTGATATCCCATGCCTAGTTATGCAAGATATTGGAAGATGGCCAAACGAGGTCCTTGATCATAACCAACTAGTTCAAAAGTGCACTCCCCTGATTGTGTAGGTTACAAAGTAAAAGAGACATCAAAGCTAGGACCTCGTCCGGAGCAGCCAATCATGATATATGAGTTTGAAAGGTATGGAATTTCTTAAGTTTTAATTTCCTGATCAATTTGAAAGACGCATCTTAGAAAAGAAAAGAGGAAGCAACATAATTCTTCTGGCTTTTCTCTTCATTTCTCTCCTTTTTCCTATGAACTTATCTATGTTTCATAGTGATGAATCGAGACATTGATTGTGTGTATTTCTTTTCTCCATGTTTGGATGGTGGCAAAACAACCTGCAAATCTTCAGTTGTCCTTTCTGTCGGAAGGTATTGTGATTCTGAACACTGTAGACTATGTATTCGCTTTGGAAATGTTTAGCTTGGTACATTCTAGTCTAGGTCCGAAAAACCATGGATCCTTAAATTATCCTTATGGATTTTATCAAGAGGAGGTGAGTTCTTTAAGGGCAAGAGAGGTCTGGCTAATTGATGGCAGTTGACCTTCTTTATGCCTTTGCTGAGTTATCTGATCTTGCTATTTTCTTTCCTTGTACTCCATTTTTCTATAAACCTGCTGACATGTTGGCTGGCGTATTGCCTTGTGTAAAGGTTAGGGAAATTGTTGCTGTCTTGGATCTTGTTGTTCTATTTTATCCCTGCCCAAGGAATGGTCCCAATTTCCGCCCCAAGGCTATTGAGTTGGGGGGCAAACAGCAATTCCCCTACATGGTTTGATCTCTGTGTTCAGGCTTTTTTGTTGTCAAACTAAATTTTTTCAAGAGTGAAATTTTGCCTTCTTTTATCTTCTTTCACTGTGTGAAGCTTGTTCAAAGTGCAGGTTGATCCAAATACGGGAGTTGCAATGTATGAATCAGATGCGATCATAAAGTATCTGGTTGATAAATATGGTATGCTTTTGCATGAGTGCTTACAATATTCGCTTATTCTCCCCACTGCATTGGCACTGAGAAACCCCAAGAAGCTCTTGTCACAATGCCAAGCTAATGCCAAGATCAAATTTGATGATTATTCTTCTGTGAAAAGTTTGAATGCTTCTTTTATCTTCTTTAACTCATCCAAAACTTAAAAGGAATGAAATTTCAAATTATTTTGCTAGGTCTTTAAGTTTTTCTTTTCTTCTGTCACTGCAAGATATTTACATCGTGAACTTATTTATTTTAGGTGATGGAAGAGTTCCTCTCATGTTGTCACTAGGTCTTCTAACAGTGAGCACTTTGCCTTTGCATCTTCCTCTTTCTCTCATGTTGATTCGTATTATACGTTGCATGGGCCTTATTGCTGGTTTTCTCGTTTCTCTTATTTTCTTGCAGACTTTGACTGCCGGCTTTGCTATGATTGTTCGTATGGGAAGGGTAATACCTTTCGTTTTTTCTTGATAATTTCAATTAATCAATAGTCTTTCAGCTTTCATATCTTTCGGCGTCTTGTGAAATGTTTATTTGGAAAATATTGATCATATTCCTCCATTTTCAATTCTATCTATGCAGGGACAATCATATCGGCCATCCAAATTGCCTCCAAAACCTCTAGAATTATGGGCATACGAGGTTCGTTCTAGTCATATACTTTATCTTGTGTTGAATGAACAGAGTTCATCCCTAAAATTGCACGAGTAATGAGTAATGCCATCATGCCTGCGTTTTTAGGGTTCTCCATTCTGTAAGCTTGTCCGTGAAGTGCTCGTAGAGTTGGAATTACCACATATTTATAGAAGGTAACATCCATTGATGGTGCTTTTTCTCGTTTGGGACACTTTTGGAATCCATAGTATCCTTTGGAGATTCAGACACTTCCAATGAAAATTTCAGTTTTGGAATGCACAACTAATTTTGAAATGCTGACATTGTAACTGGGGCGTTGCACTGAAAGCTTACCCTTTTTTTTCTATTTCTTCTTGCCAGTTGTGGCCGTGGCAGCCCAAAACGGTAGATACTATATGCAAAAACTGGTCATTTTCAGGTTTGCTATACCTCATTCTCTGGCTTCGTGCTTCCATCAACTTAGCCTGCTGAGAAATATTAGTTCTGAGTTTTTATGAGGAATTGCTCTTGTTGGACGTTATTATTGACAGGCACCTTACCTGGAAGACCCTAACATAGGAGTACAGATGTTTGAGAGTGCAGAAATCATCGAGTATCTAACAGCGACTTATGCTGCTTAAACAGTCTCCATCAGAATGCCTTATTTCGCAGACAGCACGTCTCGCCTTGCCTCGCTTCATCCTCATGCTCTTACTATATACAAATTCAAATTGCTATATACTGGAACATGCTTAGTGAACAACAAAGCAGATCTGTAGCATTGTTTGCTGCAGTAAAATGACGAAAGAGGTTCATGTTAATGTTCAGTTAATAAGCTAGCTCCCTTGTCCTATAATGTAGGTAGAGAAGACCTAATGGAGCCTTGAAATTTAAGTCAAAACCTCTCATCGCCGAAAGTAAAAGAAATTTGGTAAGTGACAGCAACCATAATGATGATGACCAATTCTGAAACCACCACAAATAAACCCCAACAGCCAAACTAATAGGATGCTGATATTAAGTTGACCTAATCCATTGCAAATACATTTGCGGGTGTTGATTTTTGCAGTCTTCAAGGCAGCTGTTTGACCCATGTCCACCCTAAAATTTTGTGAGAGATACATATTTTGTCGAAGAACTCCAAATTTGAGATGGTTGTAATCGGCACACTTTTAATATACTATAAAAAAATTGTCATAAAGCTACTAAAACAAGTAAATATATATAATTTAATTTAATTAACTTATGCCAAACTAATCAATTTTTATTTTAAACATTCCACACTTTCCATAGTAAGGTTGTGTGTTCGATTTCCAGTAACGACACTTTCCCTTATCCTCTAAAAGTACCTTGTAACAGGTTATTATAAAAAAAAGTCCCATAAACCACCCACCTCTACCCTTAATAACCGTAGTGTTCCCTTTATCCATTTTGATTCCACTTCTCTTTTTTTTATTAGACAAGAATGAAAAACCTCTCAACAGCCACACAAAAAAACTTGCTAATCTTCTTACTCTTTTTAATTCACATTTCTTTCTCTCATTCTTTGTATATATGCCAAGTGTCATGAGGGGAAAAAATTCACTATAGCTGCCTCGCAACTTTCTGCCCTCCGATTCAACCCCCAATTGTTTACTCTCGGCCGGCGGAGCCCGCGTCATCATTTTAAATTACACATTGACGCATCTCACCACTTTTCCATCTTCGCATTCTAGCTTCCCCACATGAAGTTTGTGTACACTTTACCTATTGCAATTGCGAGTTGCGAAAGAACTTTTCTTGCCATGAATTTAATCAAGAATGATCATTAGAATTGATCTTATGAATGACTGTTTAGTTATATACAATAAAAAAAAGTCTGATCCGCAACATAAACGACAAATATATTATACAACTCTTTCTGCCTATGAAAATTGGTCGTGATTCGCAATAAAAAATAATGCAATTTTCAACTTTATGAAATAAAATTTTGTATTTAATATAATAATTTATTTAATATTTTAATTTGTTAACATATTTTATCAGCAACTCACCTGTCCAAAAATCCTGGATCTACCACTAGTTTGGCTGGTGGATTGGAACTAATGGATTGAGCCCACAAATAATCAATCAAATCGATAATAGTGATCAGAAAATGAGTTTGTTTTCTATGTTAATAGGGTTGTTTCTGGTAATAATTTTAACAGGTAGTACTTTTATAATTTTGGTTTGATTTTGTTTGATACACTCCTAATCAATCAAGCCAATTAAAAAATAAGCAATTAGTCATATAATTAATATATTATGGTTTAGACTAGTGTGCCTATCGAGTTTTGCTATTTAAACTACAAATTAATCGGAGTTTGGGACATTATACTATATCATAACCTCTAATGAGGGGATTTTTCAAGAAATAGCACCATTAATTTTTTTTATAAAAATAGCACCCAGGCCACAAAAATTGCAAAACTAGCACCCTTTTTGAAAAATCGCACGGCCAAGGTGCGGTTTACATATAAACCGCAACCTGAGGGTGCGATTTGCTTTTCAGAACGTGAATCGCACATTGGACAGACGGTTTGCTTTCTGACCTACCAGAACTGCATCCTGGCAAGGCGGTTCTTAGGCTGACCTAGCAAAACCGCCTGCTGAGGATGCGGTTTCTGTTTCTCTAACACAAACCGCATCCTCAGTGTGCGGTTTTCATTTGCCGACACACAAACCGCACCCCTACGGTTTGTGTGTCGTCCTCATTTTCCCGACAACAGCATGTTAGCCATGAAGGTTGACAGACGTGGGGGCTGCATGGCAGATGAAAACCACACCCTCCCCCTGCGGTTTTAAGTGATGATTTAGCCTATAAAAGGCCGCCCCGGGAAACCTCTTCTCTTCACAGTTCTCCTTCTTCGTCAATTTTCTGTTGCCAATGAAAAGTGTAGTTTCGATGGATATCAACAGTAAGCTCACTGCCGCAGTGCTCCCAGAGGAGATTAGACGAGCGGTATTCTCCATTGGACCCACCCAAGCTCCGGGGTCTGATGGGTTTACCAGAAAATTTTATAGAGCATACTGGGATATTGTGGGACAGTCTGTAGTTGAGGCTGTTCAGTCTTTTTTCTCAACGGGAAGAATATTGAAAAGTTTCAATCATACGTGGTTGACTTTACTCCCTAAGATGGATGCAGTGGAATCAATGAAACAAATCCGACCTATTAGTCTGTGTCAGGGGTTTTATAAGATCATTTCCAAAATTATGGCGGAAAGAATGGCCATTCATTTGCCCTTACTTATCTCTCCAGAGCAAAATGGATTTGTCAGAGACTGTCAAATACTGGATAATGTATTGATAGGACATGAGATTATGCACTACCTTAAGCTAAAGAAGCAAGGAAAAAAAGGGTACATGGCTTTGAAGGTTGATATGGAAAAGGCCTATGATCGAGTCGAGTGGCCTTTTTTGTTTGCTTTGATGGCAAAAATGGGGTTTAGTGACCAATGGATTGGGTGGATAAGAGAATGCGTGTCTTCTGCTTCTTTCTCCGTGATGATGAATGGCAGCCCTTCGGGGTATTTCCGATCTCAGCGAGGACTGAGGCAAGGCGATCCTTTGTCGCCTCTCCTTTTTGTGATTTGTAAGGAGGGCTTTGCGGCTTTGCTAAGACAACAACTATCGGCAGGACGACTGAAAGGAGTGAAAGTGAATCCAAGAAGTCCGAGTGTTTCTCATCTTTTCTTTGCAGATGACTCCTACTTGTTCTTGAAAGCTTCGATTTAGGAGTTTAATGTACTGTTGCACGTTCTTCAAGAGTATCAACTCCTAAGTGGGAAAAAATTTAATTTAGCAAAGTCTGTTGTGTGTTTTAGCAGAAATGTAGACGCAGGCGACTATGGTGCCATGGCAGAGCTCTTGGGCGTAGGTGCTGTGGGTGTGCAGGACAAATATTTAGGTTTGCTGACACTCATTCACCGGTCAAAAACAGAAACTTTCCGGTATTTGGAAGAGAAGCTTCTCAGTACAATTCAGGGATGGAAACAACATCTTTCCCGGGCGGCGAAAGAAACTCTGCTCAAGGCAGTGGCAGCTGCTTTGCCAGTTTACGTTATGTCGTGTTTTTTATTGCCTCGGACGTTATGCCGGAAGATGGACAAGCATATGGCTAGGTTTTGGTGGGGGTTTAAGCCTGAAGGGGATAAAGCTCGATGGGTGTCGTGGAGAAATCTATGTCGTAGTAAGTTCGATGGGGGCCTTGGGTTTCGGAGGTTTGAGGATTTCAATCAGGCATTGCTTGCCAAGGTAGCTTGGCGGTTGCTAAATGAGCCCCAATCTTTGTTAACTCGAGTTCTGAAAGGGAAGTATTTTCCAAATTGTTCTCTACTTGAGGCAACGACTAGATCTTGTCCCTCTTGGGGTTGGAGGAGTATCCTTCATGGAAGAGATTTGCTGTTGAAAGGTTTGCGATGGCAGATCGGTAATGGTGCTTCAGTTCGCATTATAGAGGACAGTTGGGTTCCCAGTATGGTTGATATCTCCAGTTTAGTGTTACCGCAGGCGCCGGATCAGACGGGTATGACTGTCAGGTCGTTGATTGATGTTGGGATAGGGGATTGGTGTGAATCGTGTCTTGCGGAAAGGTTCCACCCGGAATTGTGTCGTAGAATATTGGGGATCCCTTTACCGCGGATACCTATCATGGATCGGCTTGTATGGACGGCGGAACAAGATGGTAGGTTTTCGGTGCGTTCTGGGTACCATTTGGCCCTTCACGAGAGACGCAGGGAGGATGGTTGGAAGGCTGAAGTTTCCTTCATTGATTCGTCTCTGTGGAAGCAGGTGTGGGGGTTTCCTATACCCCCAAAACTGAAGTTTTTTCTCTGGCAATTACTTCGCAAGATACTTCCAACGTCTGAAGCGTGTTGGGAGAAGGGTGCCGAATGCCCCAAGACCTGTCCGGTATGTTGTGATCCGTTAGAATCCCGCGACCATTTGTTTCTCTCATGTAGGGTGGCAGTCGAGTTGTGGGAAGGGAGTGGCCTAGGAGAGGTTAGACGGGGGTTGGAGCATTTGAACATTGCATTGTTCTTCCGTCGTGTCCTTGAGCGGGATTCGTCTGCGGAGAGGGTAATGAGGCTGGTCGCGTTATTATGGCGAATTTGGAAAGGCCGGAGTTGGGATTATCATGATCATATACAGTACTGAATTACAGTCTTACTCCGGCAGTATCATGAGCAGGTTCGTGAATGGCTTGCACTCCCTCAACAGGCAGCTCCTGCAATGCCGGTCTTAGTTCCATTTGATGCGAGTCAAGGAGGGTTGGGGAGATCAGCCGCGACATTTACTTGCTCAGTGGATGGTGCAGTGGAAAAAGGTTCTCATTCGGAGGGGGGGTTGGTAGTACGGGACGGTCAAGGGAGTGTAGTGTTTGTGCATGG